GGGGGAAGAAATGAGGTAGAGTGAAGCAATTTCCTGGAGCATTATAAAATAAGGAGAGCAGTACTGAAGTGTCTCCTTAAAGATATGGGCCATTTCTTCCAAATAAATAATTAAAAAACCAAAACCTATAGCCAAGTAAGCAGAGTCTGTTTTGAAGGGCTGTTTCAAAAATGTACTTACCCTCCATTTGTTCCACGTCATTTCTGTGTCAGCAAATGTAATCACTACAGATGCTCATAGAGACATTTGTAAGCACTTGTATGCTCATAAATCCTGCATGCTTATCCCTGGGATGACCTTTGCTATTATTTTTAGGGTACCTGTTATGATATCTTGCAATATATGTGAATGTAAAAAGCTATTGTACCAAATACATTCTCTCACAAAGCAGATATAGTTCAGCTATAACGGGAGAGCAACTCCTGAATGGTTCAGGCTTGAGAACCACAAGTGCTCTCCCCTCACCAACTCACTCATGAGGACAAGGTTTTGGAGTCCTTGGGGGTTATTTTCATTTTCTGTGGTAGGTAGACCATACATATCAAGGTAATGGCTACTGGTGCTGCATAAGGCCCTTAGATTAGAAAAGGTTTCCATTTTGATGTAAGAAAGCATATTGTGAATGTTAAATAAGAACTACCATGGAAAGAATGAACATATCTACTTCTGTGTTTACAAATATATACAGCAACAGTTACTGTAAAACTAGTGCCTTTTCAATTGCTTCCTTTAATTAAAATGCAGAGTTGACTGCAAGGGTCATGCTGAATCCTGTGACTCCTTTTGAATCCATTTTGGGTACAGTTTCTCTGCTTGACTCTTAATTTGAGCACTCATGGAAAATCTCAGGATTACTTGTTTTTCTCTCTCTTGTATGCAGTCTTGTGGCGACCTTAAAAGCATTAACTTGTAAGGTCACAGAATTATTTTAGCTGTGGATCAGTTGCTTAATAACAGTTGCTTTAGAGTCATGTAATCATGCAAGCAGCAAGGCTCAAGTCAGTCTTTCATTTTTTGCTTATATATTAATGGACTTAGCCACCCTATGCACAGAAAAAACAAAGCAATTCACAGACGGGTTTGATGTTCTAGAGTAAGTCTTCCAAATCACATGGAGGAGCATGTGTTTGCAAAAATAATTAGCCATTTTGTCTACCTATTTGTCCATATCAAATCCTGCTTGGACATAAAGCATAAATATAATCACTTCCTACACAATAAAGGGAGAATCTGAGAGTATTTTACCATAAGTAGTGAATGGCTTTGAATAGATAACTTCTATCTTAAACAGACTGAACAAGTTTACAGGCTGCAGTAACCAAATGCTAATAATAGATTTTTTTATAGCTATAATTTCTGGTAGATAAAAATTCAGCCTCATTAAAAAGGAAACTTTCTCTTGATAAAATATTAAATGTTCTATAGGCAAAATGGTTGGTTTTGATATTACAATGATTTCGATGTCTGTATTTTTAATGTCAGAAATATTTATGATTCTAAATAGGACAAAGTATGGGCGAAATGTTAAAACAAAACACAAAAAAACCCTAACAGAGGATAGGTTCCTGCCACATGATAAACAATTGTTGAATGATGTTTATTCACTTGGCTCTCAAGAGACAGATAATAAATGCATAGTTCTATTATGCATGCTAAATTCACCATGCTGAAAACTTAAAAGCAGATAGATCAAAACAACTGAGATAAAAAAAACATGAAGACAAAATACAGCAACATCAGTAAGAGATAGGGAAATAATTCAGACTTTAAAATGACTTCTTATTTAGTAACTTGTAACAACAATTTATGAAACTAAATTAGAGGCAAGTCAGAGTTTTTCTGGTATTTTAGATTTGCTATGTTTTTAGTGTATATAGCTTGAACAGACATCAGAGGAATTCAGATTCCAAGTAGCCTTTAAAAAGGCTGCAAAAACAATTCCTGCATGTTTTTGCTGCTAGGTTCCATTAACGGACAGTGTTTAATTCTTGAAAGGGGGAGGGGGGGAATTCAGGACAATTCATTTGCTAATCTATCTCATGCATTCACTATCCATCCCTCACACTATTGTTTCAGTCTTTGAAGAAGTTAAAGCTGTCAGTTGTGTTGTACATTTCCCAGTATAATGTATCCCAAACCATAGTTACATAAAGTTGTAAAACACTGAAGGCTATGGGCTCTGTGTTCTTTCCTGTAATCACTACACTGGTTATTTGGCATTGTACAGGTTGTATTGATGAAGGGATATTGACTGTTGCTCCAACTATCATTTTAACCTTTGTTTCTGAAAGGTGAAGGGCAGGATTTTTAATCAAGTAGCAGTTTATCTTTAATTATGAAAAACATAATTGGCATTATCATCTAATTGCAATTACTGATCGAAATTACTATTTTCACAAGTATGACCCATGCTGCATTATCACTCCACTGTTACTCTGTTATGAAGCTGTATTTGTATTTGGCAGGCAGCCAGCAAAAATTAAAAGGTAATCAAAATGCTTCTCTGCAGTCCAGTTATCAAAGTCACTGACCCTACAGCTGAGTAAATAACAAAGTCAACCTTTAGTGTAAAAAGAAAAGGAGTACTTGTGGCACCTTAGAAACTAACCAATTTATCTGAGCATAAGCTTTCGTGGGCTACAGCCCACTTCATCGGATGCATGCAGTGGAAAATACAGTAGGATGATTTTATATACCCAAAGAACATGAAACAATGGGTGTTACCATACATGCTATAACGAGAGTGATCAATTAAGGTGAGCTATTACCAGCAGGAGAGAAAAAAAACCTTTTGTAGTGATAATCAAGATGGGCCATTTCCAACAGTTGACAAGAATGTGTCAGGAACAGTAGGGGGGAAAATAAACCTGGGGAAATAGTTTTACTTTGCGTAATGACACATCCACTCCCAGTCTTTATTCAAGCCCAATTTAATGGTGTCCAGTTTGCAAATTAATTCCAATTCAGCAGTCTCTTGTTGGACTCTGTTTTTCAAGTTTTTTGTTGAAGAATTGCCACTTTTAGGTCTGTAATCGAGTGACCAGAGAGATTGAAGTGTTCTCCAACTGGTTTTTGAATGTTATAATTCCTGACGTCTGATTTGTGTCCATTTATTCTTACACGTAGAGACTGTCCAATTTGGCCAATGTACATGGCAGAGGGGCATTACTGGCACATGATGGCATATATCACATTGGTAGAGGTGCAGGTGAACGAGCCTCTGATGTGATTAGGCCCTATGATGGTGTCCCCTGAATAGATATGTGGACACAGTTGGCAACGGGCTTTGTTGCAAGGATAGGTTCCTTGAGTTAGTGTTTTTGTTGTGTGGTGTGTGGTTGCTGGTGAGTATTTGCTTCAGGTTGGGGGGCTGTCTGTAAGCAAGGTCTGGCCTGTCTCCCAAGATCTGTGAGAGTGTTGGGTTGTCCTTCAGGATAGGTTGTAGATCCTTGATGATGTGCTGGAGAGGTTTTAATTGGGGGCTGAAGGTGACTGCTAGTGGCGTCTGTTACTTTCTTTGTTGGGCCTGTCCTGTAGTAGGTAACTTCTGGGTACTCTTCTGGCTCTGTCAATCTGTTTCTTCACTTCAGCAGGTGGGTATTGTAATTGTAAGAACGCTTGATAGAGATCTTGTAGGTGTTTGTCTCTGAGGGGTTGGAGCAAATGCAGTTGTATTGTAGAGGTTGGCTGTAGACAATGGATCATGTGGTGTGGTCTGGATGAAAGCTGGAGGCATGTAGGTAGGCATAGTGGTCAGTAGGTTTCCGGTATAGGGTGGGTGTTTATGTGATCATCGTTTATTAGCACTGTAGTGTCCAGGAAGTGGATCTCTTGTGTGGACTGGTCCAGGCTGAGGTTGATGGTGGGATGGAAATTGTTGAAATCATGGTGGAATTCCTCAAGGGCTTCTTTTCCATGGGTCCAGATGATGAAGATGTCATCAATGTAGTGCAAGTAGAGTAGGGGCATTAGGGGATGAGAGCTGAGGAAGCGTTGTTCTATGTCAGCCATAAAAATGTTGGCATACTGTGGGGCCATGCGGGTACCCATAGCAGTGCCGCTGATTTGAGGGTATACATTGTCCCCAAATGTGAAATAGTTATGGGTGAGGACAAAGTCACAAAGTTCAGCCACCAGGTTTGCCGTGACATTATCGGGGATACTATTCCTGACGGCTTGTAGTCCATCTTTGTGTGGAATGTTGGTGTGGAGGGCTTCTACATTCATAGTGGCTAGGATGGTGTATTCAGGAAGATCACCGATGGATTGTAGTTTCCTCTGGAAGTCAGTGGTGTCTCAAAGATAACTAGGAGTGCTGGTAGCATAGTGCCTGAGGAAGGAGTCTACATAGCCAGACAATCCTGCTGTCAGGGTGCCAATGCCTGAGATGATGGAGCGTCCAGGATTTCCAGGTTTAAGGATCTTGGGTAGCAGATAGAATACCCCTGGTCGGCGTTCTAGGGGTGTGTGTGTGCGGATTTGCTCTTGTGCTTTTTCAGGGAGTTTCTTGAGCAGATGGTGTAGTTTCTTTTGGTAACCCTCAGTGGGATCAGAGAGTAATGGCTTGTAGAATGTGGTGTTGCGCTACATCGATGACATCTTCATCATCTGTTTTTTTTTCTCTCCTGCTGGTAATAGCTCACCTTAACTGATCACTCTCATAATAGTGTATATGGTAACACCCATTGTTTCATGTTCTCTGTGTATATAAAATCGTCCTACTGTATTTTCCACTGAATGCATCTGATGAAGTGAGCTGTAGCCCACAAAAGCTTATGCTCAAATAAATCTGTTAGTCTCTAAGGTGCCACAAGTACTCCTGTTCTTTTTGCAGATACAGACTAACACGGCTGCTACTCTGAAACCTTTAGTGTGACATCTTATCAGGAACCTTTCTTCAGAAATCTCTACATCTATTGGTAAGAAATCAAATGACATTCTAAATAATTGCATACAAAAATACCCTTGCAAAATAGGTTAGAAGAGTTGTTCTCTATATCTTCTGGTGTTGAGTTAAAAATCAGTTTAATGTTTCAAGGCACCAACATGGTTAGAATTTTATACCTGCAAATATTTATCTATGCACTATTACACAGTAACATCAATGTATTAATAAATAGTTTGTGCAATTCTGAGAAGCAATCTATAAAGGAATGTTAGCTATACAGTAGGCACATATATTATAATACAAATAGAAAACAAAATTCCTAGAAAAAGCATGTTGAGCACCTTTGTGGCACGGGTTATATTTCTTGTGCTAAACACTATGTAAACCTTAACTTACAATAACTGAACTCTCACAATAATTGGTTATTTAAATCTTTCTTTTCTGGGTGGTTGGCTCTAGGTCATGGGATCACTCTTAGGCGCAGAAGCCTCTGTCATTGGTTGTAATGGGCTGTCTTGTTCATTCAACTGTAAGCTCAAGTTTTCAGAAGTTAGAAGGGAAGAATTAAAGACAATTTCACTTAAGTCTGATTTTATGGATACTAAATGTGGATCTTGAAAACTTAAAGTTTTCTCCACTAAAACCTGTGTATTTTCTCGTGTCATTCCCATGTCTGATGGTGACTTCTTTTTCATTCTTGTGTATGATTTGTCCAGATTCTCCATGCCTTGCTCAGTTTTCTGAAATCGCCCAAAGAACCAGATGAAGAACCCAAACAAAGCAAAAGCGAGCAAACTTGGAATAAAGGCCAGGCATTTGACATCAAGGCTAGTCCCTGTATATCTGCTATGCAAGAACATGTCTCCCTCAGCATAAGTCCTGTTAGTCAGAGGGTTTGTGTTATTTGATCTCCAATCCCAGGATAACTTGGTTCTGTTAAGGTCCTTTAAGCTTTCTGAGTCCTCCACTGTGTAGATCTTCTGTCCAGGACCAATATACTGACCATATTCATGAGGTTTGTAAAATATTTGATTCTTCCACATATTTAGATCCAGGATTAAAACCAGAAAGATAATTCCATAGTTAAACCATTTACCTGTTTGAAAAAAGAAAACAGTGTCATCTGATGTCCTTTTTATAAGTATCACAACCGTGCTGATACAGTAAATGCCCCTCAGATAAAATGTTTCATTCAATTAACCTGTAAAACAAAGTTATAATGAAATTCTCAGCAGACCCAGATTTATTCTTGAATCTCTCTTAGTATTTCATAATTATGTCTAGGCACATAATAAATCATTTTGTAGAGCAGTACAACAGTATATCAATTGAATTCATACTGCAGTTTGTAGGTGACCTGTTGATTAAACCATTAGGTGATGTGGTTTACATCAATCAATTTTAAAAATAGTTGCATGAAAATTCTCCTTGAAAAGGCTACATTTGATAGAACTCTTTGTATGCTAGTGGTGAGATGCTTTGAAAAGATGACAATTACATTGCTTTAATGGTACGTACTGTGATTGATTAGTACTCATGCAGTGAAGCCCAGACATATGTACGTGGGAAGTATTGTGGTTCTGAGACATGGTATCCAAAGTACATACAAGATACTACTTTAGTAACTATTCTTTGTATAGATGCCATTGCAGTATTGTCAGAGCCTACTTATTAACTGGTTTCAGAGGAACAGCCGTGTTAGTCTGTATTCGCAAAAAGAAAAGGAGTACTTGTGGCACCTTAGAGACTAACCAATTTATTTGAGCATGAGCTTTCGTGAGCTACAGCTCACTTCAAGATGCAGTGAGCTGTAGCTCACGAAAGCTCATGCTCAAATAAATTGGTTAGTCTCTAAGGTGCCACAAGTACTCCTTTTCTTTTTACTTATTAACTGGAAACGTCTTAAGATCTTACCTTGACACGGTATTAGCAATGTCCAAGAACTCATCACATTCACATACAGTTAAAGACATTTTTAGGACTGTGGATGCACAAGTATATCTAACTGCTGCATTAAGTGATTTTGGACATAAGACACTAAGGAGTATATTTGCTGGTAATTAGCAATGTTGAGCTGTGTTGATGTTTAGTTAAATGTAACCCTTCTGCCCATCAGAGTTGGCAGCAACAAGGGCCGGGTTCAGTATCTAGGGGTTCCATTCCAATAACAAAATGCAAAACCGGCTTGAGCCCCCACCCAGTGACCTGGGACAAATATATACCATTCCCGTTGGGCGCCGCCAAGAGGCAATACTTCCCCTCTCACAAGCACATAGTCTGAGTGTAGCAAAAAGCCTTTTAATAACAGAGAGAAACAATGTGGCATTATGTTGGGGAAACACCACCAACAGGATTCATAACACAACCCATGAGCAAAAAACCCACCCCAAGCAAACTGGGGCGTGTCCTTTCCCTTTGGCTCTTGAGTCCAGCAACCCAAAATCACCCAAAGTCCCAAAAGTCTCTGTCCCTGGTCAGGGCAGCCCCAGAGTTCGAAAGTTTATCTGCAGTTGAGATGGGCAGGGGGGGGTTTAAGGGGCACCTTACATGGTCCAAAGCTGATTACCCCACCTCTTCATGGGGCTCCGCTCTGCCAGCCACCCCCATGAGCTGCTCCAGGCATCCGACAAACTGCTCTGCTCCACAAGCTGTTCCACTCACCGTGCTGCAAACTGCTCCGCCATATATCCTCAGCATCCCCCACTACTTAACACAACACTCAGTGATTTCAGCTCTTAGTAAGTTTAGCTCGTTTGTGATTTCAGCTTGTAGTAGATGAGCCTCAATGCTGGTACACCACTAGCCCAAAGTGAATTCAGCTCAGCAGCCTGTAACTAGGCTCCTAATAGGATCAAAATTAGCTCTGATATTCCACAGTGCAGAAAAAAGAAAGTGCAATTAGCATGTAAGGCCCTCACCAGGGGGCCCATGCCACCAAGTATTAATATCTACCCCTAGCCTCTCTCCATTCACTGAGTTTTGGAACTCATGACCTTTGCCTAGCGAGTGCTGCTTAGTTGATGGTGAGTCCCTCCATCATAACAAAAGGCCAAGTACAGTTCCACTGTCCTTGATTCACATAATCAGGATAATAACAGTTTATTCCTGCCCCAATAACAGAGAAACTGGGGATCCTACAGCAGCCAAAGTGACCATCTAGGTAGGTTTCAGAGGAACAGCCGTGTTAGTCTGTATTTGCAAAAAGAAAAGGAGTACTGGTGGCACCTTAGAGACTAACCAATTTATTTGAGCATGAGCTTTCGTGAGCTACAGCTCACTTCATCAGATGTATACCGTGGAAACTGCAGCAGACTTTATATACACACAGAGAATATGAAACAATACCTCCTCCCACCCCACTGTCCTGCTGGTAATAGCTTATCTAAAGTGATCAACAGGTGGGCCATTTCCAGCACAAATCCAGGTTTTCTCACCCTCCACCCCCCCCCCCCCCACACACAAATTCACTCTCCTGCTGGTGCTAGCCCATCCAAAGTGACAACTCTTTACATAATCAAGTCGGGCTATTTCCTGCATAGATCCAGGTTTTCTCACATCTCCCCCACCCCCATACACACACAAACTCACTCTCCTGCTGGTAATAGCTCATCTAAACTGACCACTCTCCAAGTTTAAATCCAAGTTAAACCAGAACATCTGGGGGGGGGGGGGTAGGAAAAAACAAGAGGAAACAGGCTACCTTGCATAATGACTTAGCCACTCCCAGTCTCTATTTAAGCCTAAATTAATAGTATCCAATTTGCAAATGAATTCCAATTCAGCAGTTTCTCGCTGGAGTCTGGATTTGAAGTTTTTTTGTTTTAAGATAGCGACCTTCATGTCTGTGATTGCGTGACCAGAGAGATTGAAGTGTTCTCCGACTGGTTTATGAATGTTATAATTCTTGACATCTGATTTGTGTCCATTTATTCTTTTACGTAGAGACTGTCCAGTTTGACCAATGTACATGGCAGAGGGGCATTGCTGGCACATGATGGCATATATCACATTGGTGGATGTGCAGGTGAACGAGCCTCTGATAGTGTGGCTGATGTTATTAGGCCCTGTGATGGTGTCCCCTGAATAGATATGTGGGCACAATTGGCAACGGGCTTTGTTGCAAGGATAAGTTCCTGGGTTAGTGGTTCTGTTGTGTGGTATGTGGTTGTTGGTGAGTATTTGCTTCAGGTTGCGGGGCTGTCTGTAGGCAAGGACTGGCCTGTCTCCCAAGACTTGTGAGAGTGTTGGGTCATCCTTTAGGATAGGTTGTAGATCCTTAATAATGCGTTGGAGGGGTTTTAGTTGGGGGCTGAAGGTGACCGCTAGTGGCGTTCTGTTATTTTCTTTGTTAGGCCTGTCCTGTAGTAGGTAACTTCTGGGAACTCTTCTGGCTCTATCAATCTGTTTCTTTACTTCTGCAGGTGGGTATTGTAGTTGTAAGAAAGCTTGACAGAGATCTTGTAGGTGTTTGTCTCTGTCTGAGGGGTTGGAGCAAATGCGGTTGTATCGCAGAGCTTGGCTGTAGACGATGGATCGTGTAGGCAAGGACAGGCCAGTCCTTGCCTACAGACAGCCCCGCGACCTGAAGCAAATACTCACCAACAACCACATACCACACAACAGAACCACTAACCCAGGAACTTATCCTTGCAACAAAGCCCGTTGCCAATTGTGCCCACATATCTATTCAGGGGACACCATCACAGGGCCTAATAACATCAGCCACACCATCAGAGGCTCATTCACCTGCACATCCACCAATGTGATATATGCCATCATGTGCCAGCAATGCCCCTCTGCCATGTACATTGGTCAAACTGGACAGTCTCTACGTAAAAGAATAAATGGACACAAATCAGATGTCAAGAATTATAACATTCATAAACCAGTCGGAGAACACTTCAATCTCTCTGGTCACGCAATCACAGACATGAAGGTCGCTATCTTAAAACAAAAAAACTTCAAATCCAGACTCCAGCGAGAAACTGCTGAATTGGAATTCATTTGCAAATTGGATACTATTAATTTAGGCTTAAATAGAGACTGGGAGTGGCTAAGTCATTATGCAAGGTAGCCTGTTTCCTCTTGTTTTTTCCTACCCCCCCCCCAGATGTTCTGGTTTAACTTGGATTTAAACTTGGAGAGTGGTCAGTTTAGATGAGCTATTACCAGCAGGAGAGTGAGTTTGTGTGTGTATGGGGGTGGGGGAGATGTGAGAAAACCTGGATCTATGCAGGAAATAGCCCGACTTGATTATGTAAAGAGTTGTCACTTTGGATGGGCTAGCACCAGCAGGAGAGTGAATTTGTGTGGGGGGGTGGAGGGTGAGAAAACCTGGATTTGTGCTGGAAATGGCCCACCTGTTGATCACTTTAGATAAGCTATTACCAGCAGGACAGTGGGGTGGGAGGAGGTATTGTTTCATATTCTCTGTGTGTATATAAAGTCTGCTGCAGTTTCCACGGTATACATCTGATGAAGTGAGCTGTAGCTCACGAAAGCTCATGCTCAAATAAATTGGTTAGTCTCTAAGGTGCCACCAGTACTCCTTTTCTTTTTGCATCTAGGTAGGGTGGGTGTGCCTATGCAAATGAGATCAGCTCCTGAAGTTCTTTTCCACAACCCACCATGACTCGCCACCAGATGTCAGGGTAGAGCTCATCCTGACTCTGCTTACATCAGTAAATGTTGAATCTCAAAGATGAGTTACTTTATTGGTTTGGTAAGCAGTGGTGTGGTTGAAATTACTGTCAGGCTGTGCACTCATGTTCTGCCATTAATTTGAATGTCTCAGTAAAGTAACTCCTTATAGTTTGGTATTTGGATTTATGTTTTTAAAGTGATTTTTTTAACCCAGATGGCCATTCTGGATGAGAATAAACATGAGCATTAATTTTCTTGTGGCCCTATCCAGAAACTAAATTACTGAAAGACCAGGGAGGAAATTCTGCTGTCAGCTTCAAGAGTATAAGTCCTCACAAACACCACTGAAGCTATTGGTATTATTCTGGATTTTCACCAGCATAGCTGAAAGCAGAAGTTAGCCCCATATTTCCTATTACTTTAGTCCCTTAAATGCTCCCTGAGACATTAATA